GGATGCTTATCAGACCCAGAAACCATGCGACATTACAGGCATGAACTGCCTAAACTCGTCCTGCTACCTTGCCCCTGATAGTTCCCTTGGATCGATTAAGAAAAAGAAAGGAGATCAATCTTTAAATCTGTATCAAATTAAACCCCCGTTTAATAACAGCAGAGAGCAAATTTCTTATCACCTTCGTAACCAGTATTGTCACCATCATTATCACTCATGTCCACGCCAGTAAAATGACAACTTCTCAATCTCCTCGGAGGGAGGAAGGGACAAAAATCTTCTCCCCTCAGACCTTGCCCGGCCTGCTGAATACGGACCCGTAAGCCTACTCTGTATGACTTGAACAAGTTTTTATGGAGTTAATTTCATATTTGCCTACATCACAAATGACACCGCCTCACAAATACACATTTGGGGGGAAGAGGCAGGGAAGAGGTGGGGGCCGGGCATAGGAAGAAGGGGAACTTTTGGGTGGGGGTGGTAGTGGTGAAGAGTGGGGGGTGGAAGAAGAGCAGAGTCAAGAATGTACGCGCCAGGCTACCCGGCGACTCCTCCTCTCCCCGCTCCAACCCCAAGGATTATTTATCCGCAAAGTTCCAAGCCCACTCATTGGCCTGCGTCACGGGTGTCAGCGAGAGTCACTGTTCGCTATTGGCCCCTCACACGTGCGGCCCAGACTCACGTGCTTCCGGTTTGAATGCAAAAAGTGTGCCTGGGTGATTTTTTTTTTTAGAGAGAGAGTTTGTGCAAAGATCGGAGCTGTCAGAGATTTGAAAAAAAAAAAAAAGGAAAAGAAAAAAAAAAGCCCAGGCGCGGTGGTGGAGGCACTCTCTCCCTGCAAAAAAAGCAAAGGCGATTAAAGGCGCTGCCAACCTCGAGCTGTGGGCAAAGCTGAGCATGACACTTGGGGAAGTCAAACCCCTCACTATTGCTTAGGAAGATGGCTAGATTTTAAGGACTCGTTTGTTTTTTTTTTTCCTTTAAGAAAAAATATTTTATTTGGGGGAGCTCCTCCTGGTGTGGCTTTCCTTCCTTAAAAAAAATCAACAACAACAAAAACTGAATCTGGTTGCAAAAAGAAATAGCGAAGTGTCTTCATTTTTGGATATCTGCAAAGTAGAGAGGAAAACAGATCTGCTCGGTAAAAGAGAGATTCGAGACAAGCTTCTGATCTTTTTCCCCTTCTTTTTCTTCTCCTTTTCCTTCTCCTCCTCTTTTTCTCCTTCTCTTCCTTCCTCTCCTTCTTTCCTCCCCGCACCCCCACCGGCCACTGGCAAAGTGGGGTGGAGAGCGAAGCGGGGGGGAGGGGGAAGGAAGCCGCGTCCGGGGCGGCGGGGCGGCTGAGTATGGAAGAGCAGCAGCCGGAGCATAACAGTCAGCGCGACTCCACCATAGGCACTGCGAGCCACAGCAGCAGCAGCGGCAGCAGCAGCAGCAGCAACAGCAGCAGCAGCAGCAGCAGCAGCAACAGCAGCAGCAGCAGCAGCAGCAGCAGCAGCAGCGGGAGCAGCAGCAGCGGCAGCGATGGAGACAGCGTGCCAGTGTCCCCGCAGCAAGCTCCCTCGTCTCCTGCAGCACCCTGCCTCCAGCCCCTACCCCATCACCATCACCACCACCACCACCACCACCACCACAATCACCACCAGCCCCCGCCGCCGCCCCAGCCGATGCCAGCACCTCCTCACCAGCCGCCCCCACCGCCACCGCCGCCGCCGCCGCCGCCCCAGCAGCACCGCACCACCAACTTTTTCATAGACAACATCCTAAGGCCAGACTTTGGTTGCAAGAAGGAGCAGCAGCAACAGCAGCAGCTCTTGGTCGGAGCGGGAGGAGGAGGAGGTGGCGGTAGTGCTGGTGCTGGTGGCGGTGGTGGTGCAGGAGGAGGAGGAGGCCGGGCAGAGCGAGACAGAGGCCAGACAGCCGCAGGTAGAGACCCGGCCAATTCTCTGGGCACGCGGCCGGCCAACCCGGCTTCACTTCTCTGCCCCGCAGATGCGAACTGTGTGACGCCCGACGGCTCTGCGCCGGCCCCAGCCGCCGCCGCTTCCAAAGCCAACCCAGCGGCGGCGGCTGCTGCTGCTGCTGCCGCGGCCGCGGCTGTGGCGGCGGCGGCAGCTGCTGCAGCCGCTGCGTCCAAGCCTTCGGAAGGCAGCGGGGGGAGTCCTGGAGCAACTGGCGCTAAATACGGGGAACATGGGAACCCGGCTATTCTACTCATGGGCTCGGCCAACGGTGGGCCAGTGGTTAAAACTGACTCGCAGCAGCCGCTAGTATGGCCAGCTTGGGTCTACTGTACGCGTTATTCAGATCGCCCATCTTCTGGTGAGTACACCCTTTGAAGTGAGTCCTCATTCCCCTGTCCCTCTAGGATCACCAGTGACATTCCCCACCCCCACCCCCGCCAAGAGTTCTTAGAAACCAAAATAATGATGCATTTTCCTTCCCCTTCTCCCCCAACCTATGCTATTCCTTTCTCTGTTCCTCTTCCTTCCACTTCTCCTCGAATATTTTATTTGTTCCCCCTTTTCTGCGATGCCTCCATCTCTTGCCCAGCCTGAAGTTCTGGAACAGTTGGATTTGGGCACCAGGGAAGATTCGCTATTGAATTCCTAACGCTTTAAAGTATTATTCATAATTTCTTTTTTTTTTTCCTTTTTCTGGGGGTGGCTAAGGACTTTTGTTTGATGAAGATGGGAAGTCCTAGGCTAGAGAGTTCGGTTTTATATCGACAAGAAGATAGGCTGCCATTATAGAAATGTGTGCATTAGAATTTATACACATTACCAATATTCTGCAATACTGATATGAGACAGAGAAAGTGTGTGTGTGTGTGTGTGTGTGTGTGTGTGTGTGTGTGTGTGTGAGAGAGAGAGAGAGAGAGAGAGAGAGAGAGAGAGAGAGAGAGAGAGAGAGAGAGAATGAGAATTTTTTTCCTCGGGTACGGGAAGGAGAGGCCCTGTCGTGGGGCAAAGAAACAAGGTGCTTTTGTAGAATAATATCAGAAAGGAATCACAAGGATCCCCTGGGCTGGTAGGAGAAAGTAGGAGTTAAGACTGTCCAGGAGATGAATCTTATCTTTTAGAAGAAGATGGAGAGGGACAATCTATAGGACAGTGAGAAGATCGAAAGAAAGAGAAGCTTGAGCAGGCCGGAAGGCCAGCTTCTGAGTCTCGCTGCTTGCATTGCTGTTTGCCTGTGAAACTCGGCTCTCAAAACCCTCTTTTCCCGTTATCCCCTTTTCCTTTTATCTCAGCCGGGACAGAACACCCACGGCTCGTGATTGTTTTGAGGTTTTTTCCTCCCACTCCAAAGCTCCTTTTTTTCTTTGGTGGCACAGCGACCTTAGCGTGCTTTCCATGGATGTGTCTCCTACTTCACTGGGCTGCTCCTCGGTTGTTTCCTTAGCGTCCGACATTGGGTCTCTCAACCCTTAGCCCCCTAGTTCCCTTTCAGTCTTAATGGGGAGAGAAGAAGGAACTCACACCTGCTCTGTTCCCAAATTCCACCCCAGTCAAGCCCAGCCTGGGCTGAGGAAAGAGGTAGAGTTTAGGGACGAAGACTATTTCGTGGGGTCGGAGCTACGAACTCTATGAAGGTATCCGGGAGTCTCCCAGCTCCCCATTTCCGTTTTCTTCTCTCTTCATCTCTCCCTTCAGTTCTGTCCCGAATTTCTTGGGCTGCAGAGCCAATCGATAGGCCGCTATCAGCCCCAGCCATCTCGATCCCCCCGCTATTGACACGTCCGTCTCCCTGAACCTCCGAAAAGCCGCTTTGATTGACTCGCCTGATGGATAGAGTGATTGAGCTGTCAGGTCGGCTGCTAGGGCTGGCTGGGGAGAAACGATTTTATTGCCTGTGCTCAGTGTGTCCATACACATGCACCACTATAAACCCAGTCTCAGACACAGACAGGGGTCTAGGCCTCTCTGGCTATGATCGTCTCCTCTCTCTTCCCATTACCAGAAGAAATATAAATGCCTTCTCCTTCCTCATTGGGGTTCTTCTATCTTGTCTAGGTCAGCGTCTTTGCCCTTGGCATCTGGAGTTTTAGGGCTACAGGCCCTGTTGTATCCCCTGTAACTTTCTGGATCCCAGGATTCTGCTAGAGAGAATGGAGACTTACCTTTTGGTTTGTAATGGGAAGTTGACATTGGGAGTCCGGTCTCCACCCGGAAGGAAAAAAATCAATTCGCGATCACCTAGATTTCCAACCAGGAAGGTTGAACTCCAAGATCCTATCAAAGGGGCTCGAGCTTAACCTAGCACTCTGATATTGTGATACTGTGTCCTCTTTCTCTCGGATGAGGAGAATGGAATATCTTAGAGGAAGATGTCGGGCTTCTCTCCAGTCTCCAACCTACACCTAAGAGTGTCCTGGCTACCAGGCTCCAGATTCCCTAGGCCCTGACTGTAACCATCAAAAGTTGTGCGGTTTATGTGGGGTTCATACCCCTACTCCATCTACTAATCGGGGACTAGAGTTTATTCAAAGCTTCCCTGTTTATATTCCCTTCTAGCAGAAGCAGATCGATGTGGCCTGTTTCTCTACATGGTGACACTCTCACTGTAGTACCTCCCCAAGGCTTTAGCGTTTTTATAAATAGCAACGATTTGGTTATCTGGCTTCTTACACGGAAAGGCCGGGAGACTTCAGCCCCCACTATTTATCCCTTCTCAAAATCTCCATTTCTAACCTTTCCATCCTCTATTGCAAGAATCCTGGAGAATCAAATATCAGTTAAAAAAAAAAAGGACTAGGATGTAGGTGTACTGAAACATGGATCAGGTAGAAGGATAAGCCAACTGACAGATGAGTGATCTCAATCTCTATCTGTCTGTCTATTTGTGTAGCCCCGTAGTTCTCTATCCTAATTCCCTGTGTTCTACCGACTGTCAGAGGACCAACAGGTGTGCCAAAGACTCAGCGGGCTTGCAGAATATAACAACTAGGGTCCACGGGATCCGTCGGTTCTGGCCCTATGCCTATGTCCTTGGCCTCTGGGATGAAGCCCTGAATTATATGTAGAAGCTTTTGTCCCCTTCCTGTTGCCCCTCTCTCATTTGCTTTTTGGTCCAGAAATATCTGGTCAGGGAAGGAAATATCCAGGGGATGCTTTATCTTGAAAATGGCAGAGGGGCTAAAAATTTCAGTTCCAATTCCAATTTCCTTGTGTTTCCTTTTTTTTTCATTTCGTTACATTTTGTTTCTTTTGTTGGTTGGTTTGGGGTTTTTTGTTTGTTTTGTTTTTACAATTCATGAAATAAATGGTAGAGGCCTTAAAACATAAAAATATGCAAAGTCGATGAATTTCGAAATTGCTAGAGGCTGTTAGCAACGCGGCCGTCTGGATAGAGGCAGGTATCCTTTTCCAACAAGGAGTGGTGATTTGGGAAGAGAAAGCGGTAGGGTTACTGATTGAGGGCGCTTGCAAAGGTTCACTGTTGATCATGCTGAGTTTATCGGTACCCCACTAACCTTAGCCGGAACCGTGGCTCCTCCAGCTGTTCTGGGTGTAGAGTGCCCTTGCAGTCAATATATTTCCCACAGCCCCCGGGTCTGGCCTCACTTCAGTTGGAGGCGCAGAAACTTGTCTGTAACAGAAGGCATCGAACTTCCTCTCTTTATGCGGCAGGGTCTGGCATTCCCCAGGGTCTCACAGAAAATAACGGAAAGGAAGCGGGCCTGGGGCGCTTGAACCCAACCAGGTCGGGGTTAGAGTGAAGCTTGTGGCAGAAAGAAAGACTACTAAGGGCGGGGGCCAGGGGAGAGCAGTCTATTTCTTGGTTCTTCTCAGGAGGCCTTGACCCCGCGGGCTTAATTTTCTCGATCTCTTTGCTTTTCTTCTGATGCGGGGGTGGAGTGGGTTTCTCTGGATTGGGAGGCCCGAGGTGGGGGAAGGGGTGGCAATAATGATGCTGTCTTGGTAAAGGACAGCGGGTATTGGTTTGAAGTGGTTTCTACTAGCATTTATTTTCTCAGCCTCAGTGGAACCGGGACCTAAGATCTCGGAAGATAAAGGAGTGGTGAAGCGGAGGGTTAGGGAGACACACAAAGTGAATCGGCTGGGGTGCCAGCTCCTCTCCCAGCTGCTTTATCCCCTTCCTCATTGTCATGATGGGAATGGCTGGTCCCAGAATCTGCTTCCACAGGCCGATCTTGGGTTTCCCTGTGGGGAGAAGAAGGGAGCAGAAGGAAAGAAAGCTGGGCGGGGGCCCAGATTTCGTTCCTACTAATTTCTTTCTTCCTGAGATAATCTGCTGCTTCTCTGGTCTCTGGGTTGCCTGGGGCCTGGCCAGTTCGAATCTTATTATCAGGTGAATGCCTTTGGCTCTCCTCTCTCCCCCAAATCCTACAAGCTTCCTCTTCCCCTCCTTTGATCTAGATTGAAATTGTGGGGGTCCTGTAGCTGTCGGCCATTTTTTTCTTTCTCACTCTTTACTACCCATCAGAAAGAAGATAAGAGTTAGTAATAAGGGACAATTGGTTTGGGCCAGGGAAGACTGCTTCTTGAATTGGGAGTGGGGTCGGGATGCTATGGATGAAAGGGAGGGGAAACTTCGAAAACAGAAGGGGCTTTAGTAACCAAGAACTATGATACAAGAACACCCCCTTTCACTGATACAATTCACACAGCTGCCTTTCCACCTTCCCCCCCCCATTTTCTTCCCTTTTCCCCTGTTTCTGTCTTCTCTCTCCCTCCCCCCTTTGCCTTACCCTCCCCGGCTTGTCTCCCTCACATGTAGGTCCCCGCACCAGGAAACTAAAGAAGAAGAAGAACGAGAAGGAAGACAAGCGGCCGCGGACGGCATTCACCGCAGAGCAGCTACAGAGACTCAAGGCGGAGTTCCAGGCGAACCGCTACATCACCGAGCAACGCCGGCAGACCCTGGCCCAGGAGCTCAGCCTCAACGAGTCCCAGATCAAAATCTGGTTCCAGAACAAACGGGCCAAGATCAAGAAGGCCACAGGCATTAAGAATGGCCTGGCTCTGCACCTCATGGCCCAGGGACTTTACAACCATTCCACAACCACGGTACAGGACAAAGAGGAGAGCGAGTAGCCACTTCCCCTTTCTCCCTCTCCCCCACCCCCACCCCCTGCTTCACGCTGGCTCCTGACACCCTCTCATCCCCACCCTCTCCTCGTTCCCCTCCTCCGGCTCAAAAGATTTTTTTTTCCAGGGAAGAAAATAATAAACAAAAGAGAAGGGGGGGAAAGACTTCGAACGGCAAGTCATGTTGAAAGAAATTTTTTTTTAAAAGAGAGACTCGGACAGGTGCTATCGAAATCAGATCTATTCTCTATTAATAGTATAAGGGACGAAAATGCGAACACTTAAATCTCTATATAGCCAAACAGCTTACGACCTTGTATATATTTAATTTCAGGTAAGGAAAAAATATGTGTAGCGATCTCTATTTGCTGGACATTTTATTAATCTCCTTTATTATTATTATTGTTATAATTATTATAATAATTATTATTATTTGATCCCTCCGTTTTCCCCCTGTTTCGTTTGCGTTCCGTTTTTCTTTTGAATGTGGTCGCTTCTTGGTCCTCCCTCTCCTCCCACCCCTCCACCTCTCTTCACTGCATCACTGTCTCTGCCTATCTCGGACTTTTCTTTGTGTGTGTGTGTGTGTGTGTGTGTGTGTGTGTGTGTGTGTGGCGTGTGTCTCTCCTTTAGTCTCTCCCACCTTCCTCATTCTTTCTTCCTTTTCTTCCTTCCCTCTGCCCACCCTTTTTTTTTTTCTGAGACCTGTTTCTACCCCACAGACTGCGAGACTGAACCGCCGCTACAAGCCAAAGATTTTATTATGTTCAGAAACCTGTAGTCTGAAATAAAGTGTACACTGTGTTCACAAGCCCGCGTCGTTCCTTCTCTTCGGGGCCTTTGCCCGACCGCCGTAGTCGGGCTTGGGCTGGTTGACTTCATCTGACTGGCCATTCGTGCCGGACTGGCGTTTCTGGAAAGGGCGGATGGCGGGCAGAGTGTGACCAAAGCAGCTTCATTCCCTAGTTTCCTATCTTTCCATACTTCGGGAGTAGGCATGCGGTAGGCGGCAAATGGGAAGCTAGTTATCTACTCCACAGGGTGATTCTAGGCCAAAGCAGTCTCTAGAGAAATGGGACTTCCGTCTCGGGGCCACGAAATTCAAGGGATCTCAGATCTCACAGGGAAACAAATGCCCATCATTGGAAAGAAAGGGAAGGAAAATCAGGAATGGGGGAAAATACCAGTAACAGAGCACTTTTTCTTCTGAGGGTGTACCCAGTGGGTTGACAGGGGCTTTGCCCAGACTGGCACGTGGACCCGACCCGGGAAGCTATGCTCGCAGCGCCCTCAACCCCGTCTCTCTTTAATATGTGTTTCCTTAAGCCAGAGGGTGGAAGAGGGTCTCCCTGCTAGGAATGGGGGCGGGGTGTGACGGGGATCCCTTCTGAAAATGATCTTTACTCGGCAGCCGGTTGCTTAGCAGCGTCTTAGTAAAGAATGGTCCTTTTCTGCCCCCATCCCTCTACCCGCTCGACAGACTTTTCTGCTTTTATTCACACAGGTTTTCGTTTGCGAGAAAACGATTCAGTCTGGGCACTGTGTGTGTGTGTGTGTGTGTGTGTGTGTGTGTGTGTGTGTGGTGTGTGTGATTTAGGGTATGAGGAAGGGAACGAACCCATCACTAGTTTCAGTCTAACCTGATCAGCGCTCTATCTCGCTTCAAGAGAACTAGGTTCAAAGGCTTCATTAGTCTGGAATATTCACAGCCACTGTCTTATGTTACTGTTAGCACTATTAAGGTTGTCAGTGTCTGCTCGACTGCCCCTAACTAAGGAGATTCTGATGCGAGTTTATTATAATAGTACTGTAATAATATTTTTAATAGTAAAACACATAGCAAGACTCCAAACAATAAAAAACAACCACACCCATAATAAGCATTCTTGTCTTACGGGGATGGGAGACGTGCCAGAACACACCAGGTCTCAGTGCTCTGTCTCCATTGCCCCTCTTTCAATTTTCCCCAAATCCCCCAGAAGAAGGAACCAGGGAAGAACATCAGGTTGCTTCTTATGTCTCTAGAAAATTGGGGTGGAGGGGCGGAAGACAGAAACCTGAATGATTGCTTGTTTCTTTCATCTGTGAGTGGTTGTGTCTATTTGTTGCTGGGGTATTTTCTCTGGGAATGTAAAAAACAAAAACATAAAATGAGTCTCTGGTCTTTGCTTCTACATCTCTACCTCATCCGCCCTCACTGGTGTGTGTTGTGTGTGTGTGTGTGTGTGTGTGTGTGTGTGTGTGTGTGTGCCCCTGTGCTTGAGTGCGTGCTGTAAGAGTGGGTCATAATGATTTCTTTCTTTGGATTCATTTTATTTTATTACTACTTTGACCTACCCTGTGATTATTAACATCAACTGAGGTTAAGTTGACTGGTTGTTTTCCAACCCTCTAAGTTTCTTTCCATTTAGGTTGAGATTATTTTCCCTTTTGAACCCAGGTGAGGACTAGCCTTCCAAAATCTCAGTAACCAAAAATGTCATCAATTTCCCAGGATCTGGGTTCAAAGGCAATGAAGGGGAAGGATCTATCCAAATTCCCACATCAGCTGCAAACATTATTTCAGTCAATTACTTCACCCTTTCTCTTCTCAGCCTCCATCTGAGCTTTTCCAATCTCGGGTTGAGATGGAATGAGGAGGATAAAAATCCTGGAATAGTTCAGATGAGATACCTCCACAGGAATGGCGGCTTATGCTGGCTTACTGGCATTTGTTTGGCATAACTGTTTCCAAAAGGGCAATGGAGTCTATGGGCTGATCAGCTCCTCCAAGTTTGAGGAGATTGAGGTTTTCTTTCTGATTTATCCAACCCCATTACTACAAATCTACCAAGGAGTGCTAATTCAGTTTAATTCACTTCACTAAATATTCATAACAAGCTGGGGGGGGAGGGCATGAGGGATTCAGATAGAATCTAGCAGCTCCCTCTTCCCCAGCTTGGATGAAGTCAGAATAATGTGTGTGTGTGTGTGTGTGTGTGTGTGTGTGTGTGTGTCTGTGTAGAAAGGGAGAGAGACAGAGAGAGAGACAGAGAAAGACAGAGACAGAGGGAGAGGTGGGAGGAGATAGGGATAGATTTTAGAGAGTTAAACTAAGTAAGAATAAGGAGAAGGGACAAGAGTTGGCACAATTTACACAAAAAAGGTTTCCCACTCCCACCTTACTGTGGTTTTTGTTTTTGTTTTGGCTAGGCAATAGGGTTAAGTGACTTGCCCAGGGTCACACAGCTAGTTAAGTGTCAAGTGTCTCGGGCCATATGTGAATTCAGGTCCTCCTGACTCCAGGGCCAGTGCTTTATTCACTGCACCACCTAGCTGCCCCTCCCATCTTACTCTGAGGCCTCTTCTCATTTTAGAATTCAAGGAAAAAGAGAGGACAAAGGGTGGCATCAGTGGAAAATTGCTCAGGTTAAAGTTTCCTTTGGCTGATCAGTCTATATGGGAGAAAATTAGAGAAGGTCACTTGTTTCATAGCATCTTCCTTTTTTTCTCTCGCTTGCTGCTTGTTTCCCAACAAGAAGAGACTAAATTTGGCTAGGTCTCAGGCAAGGGGTGTGTGTGTGTGTGTGTGTGTGTGTGTGTGTGTGTGTATGTGTTTGTGTTCATGTATGTATATATGTATGTATATTATGTGTATATGTATATGTGTTTGTGTGTATTGGAGGTAAGAGAAACACACTGCCCCATTCCTTGTCATCCTCTGATCAGAGTAGACAGGATCTCTCTTCCAATTAATCCCTCCTATTCTCAACCTAGTTGAGGATACGGAGGGAAAGAAAAGAGAGCAGTAATCATTTATTGTGTAATCAAGATGAATTGAATATGTCACTATTTTGTATTTTTGTTCTAAGTGCTTTTCCATCCATTTATTTATTCTCATTCTTCCACTGTAGAAATAGATTGAGAAATTATTTTTCTTTCTATTACACAGATCAGGAAACTGAGGGCTAAATGTGTTTATGCTCACACATCATGTTAGTGGCAGATCCCAAGGCCAGAATCCAAAAGTCTCTTTATTCAGTCCAATGTGTGGACTATGTATGTCTTCTCCAGCTCTGTGTTCAGTTTCTTTCTGTCTTTCTTCTGTTCTAGAAAATTGGCTTTGAATCTGAAACTGGGACCCAGAAGGATATCCTTGTTGTCTCTACCTTCAGTTCCAGTTCCCATCCAGACCCTTCCTCACTGATCAGACTACTTCCTTGCTTCCCCCTTTAGGAAAAGTAATAATAACTATAAAAGGAATTGATTTCTATGATTTATGGGGCTGGCTTAGCAAACCGTATGTGAATTAAAGTCTGAGGCTGCACTGAAATAAATATCAGAAAGTACCATCAAAATTTCCCTCATTTTCTTTTTCTTTTAAAGATGAATTGAACCATAAACTTAAATCTTCCTCTGCCCAGGAGGAAACAGACTGCTATCTAAGTCCAAACAGTATTGATCCAAGGTCCCTTTGTAGGCAAAGGTCTCTGTTTTCCAGTGGAAACTCAACTTTCTTCCCCACCCCACCACCCCCAGGCTGCTGGAATTGTGTGTGTGTGTGTATGTGTGGGTGTGAGTGTGTAGGGAAGAGGGTTTTCTGTCCAATTCTGCCAAGTCTGGCCTAGCACAGACCCCAGAACAGTTCTTGTCTAGCAAAAAGACCAAAAGTAAGCCTTTGGCTGTTTCTTCCAATGACCATAGGAGCAATAGTTTGCTTTTCGAACCAGTGGCTATGACTTCGATAATGTTTCCAAAGCAGAAAACTCACCCTGCTTACCCTCCACACCTCAATTCTTCTCTTCTCCACCTGGAGAGTAACAGCCAGAACCTAAGGAGTGATGGGACAATCAGATGAATAACAATTAGTGAGAGGGCACAAGAGGGCTATCCCTAAGGTAAGAGAGAGAAAAAGAGAGGAGAGCTGACTCAAACTATTTTTCAGTCTACTTTCTCTGCTTTGTTTGCCTTCATCGCATCTCTCTGTCAGAGACTATTTCTCCATCTCTCTCTATTTCTGTCTGTGGGTAGTTCTTGGTTTTCAATCATAGACCTTTCTTTCTCTGCTGTCTGGTCCCTGTGACAAGCTATTTCTCACCCCCCTGAATGGAGATGGAGGTCAAAAGCTAAGATCTAATCTTGGTTCACTCTTTCACTTCTCCCTTAGGGCAGGGAGCTGTCCCTTCAGTCCAGGTCTTTGGAAAGGTGGGCAACTCTAATCCAAGTGAGGACCTGGGTTCGAATTAGATAGCAAGTTTATTCTCTTATCAGAGATCCTAATTATCAAAGAAGAAAGGGACCTTGATCTTTTCTCTCTTTCCCTTTTCCACTCTCCCTTGCTCTAACACACACACACACACACACACACACACTTTCTGGAGCTCAGTCCATGTCTCTTGCTTCCCAATCCTCTGGGCCCCAGATCACCTCACCGTGGGTCTGTTGAGGAGTTGGGGTCAGGAACGC